GGCACGGGACCGGAGGGAGGGACGTGGCAGTTCCCGGGGCCAGGTAGGCTGGTGGCTGAGCCCCTCCCCCCACAGTGTGTGGTCATCGGGCTGCAGTCCACAGGCGAGGCGCGGACCCGCGAGGTGCTGGGCGAGAACGACGGCCACCTGGACTGCTTTGTCTCAGCTGCCGAGTGAGTGACGCGGGGGGATGGGGCGGCATGGCCCTTGCTGGGTTCCACCAATGACCAGACCCTGGCCTTGGCCCGCGAATGGGGGCCCTATGGGCTTTGCCGCTCCAGCCCAGCCCCCAGCCCAGAGCCAGGACTGGGAAGCTGGTGGCCCCAGGCCCGCAGGGGAGGACGCGGGGTCCTGGGGGCTCGGGAGGGGGCTTCCCAGCAGGATGGCCCTCAAGTCCTGGTCTCCCATGGGGTGAGAATGCCCACCACCCTCCAGCCCCTTCTGAGCTCCTAGGCCAGGACCCTCAGCCCTCCTGCCCTCTGCCCAGGCGGCCCTGCCCAAGACACCCGCGGGACGCTGGGCTCCTGCCATCCCCACTGACCCCAGAGCAACCCTGACACAGTTTCCTGGCCCAGGCACGGCCCCGCAGGGAGTAAACTGCCGCTCCCTTTCAGGGGCGTCTTCCTGTCGCTGATCCAGAAGCACTTTCCTTCCAGCAAAAGAAAAAGGGAGAGAGTGGGCAGCAAGCGGAAACGTAAGTGCCCTGCCGGCCCCTGCTCCCGCCCCGGCCGCCCCCTCCGGCCTGGCCTCCCCCTCATCTGGACCTCCTCTCCCGCCTCAGCGTTCTGAGCGGCGCCCTGTGGGCTGCTCCTGCTTGCTCGGCTCCTGCCTCGACACTCCAGGCAGGCTGAGGGCTCCACTGCCAGCAGGGTCTCCAGGGCAGCCCCATTGGGCAGGGCCGGCCCCTTCCTGCCTCCCCGCATCCCCCCTTCTGCGCAGCACTCAGGGAGGAGCAGCCCCCAGACGGCCTGTTGCCCGCTCCCACCCCTCCTGTCTCCCACGTGCCCTGCCTCGGGCGTCCTCACATGTGGCCCCTGGGCCACCTTTCCCCGGGGTCTGGGCACACCCTAGGCCCACGCACCTGTCTGATACCCAGGCCCGCAGTGCCACGTGGGCCCATGTATGCTTCCCCAGGTGCCTCCAAATACAAAGCCCCATCAGGCTGGAAGGGCATCAGGTGGGGTGTATTAAGACTGCCCCTAGCCAGGCGCGGTGGCTCATGCTGGAATCCCGGCACTCGCTGAAGCGAGAGGATTGCCTGAGGCCACAGGTTCCACACCAAGCATGGGCAACTTGGCAAGACCTCGCCTCTACAATAATTCAGAAAGTCAGCTGGGCACGGTGGCACACTCCTGTGGCTCCAGCTGCTTGGGAGGCTGAGGCAGGAGGATCTCCTGAGCAGGCTGAGGCTGCAGTGGCCGTGAG